GTTCATTAGAGACATAGACCACATAAGAAGCCCTCCATCCATGTGAGGAGCAGCTTCACACTTTCAGAAGAAACACATGAGAATAGGAAACCCTCCCCAAACCCGCTGGGCCCTTTGCAGAGCTGCATAAATCTGCAGTCCCACCACATGAGTAACAGCTTACTACAAAACTGGGGGGAAAAGGAGCTGAACCCCCCGCTTTCTACAGCTTTGGCACAGGATAAATATGACCAGCAGGTTAAATGTTTCCCTGCTCAGTTTGAGCAGCAGTAGCCAGTTGCTGGCACTGCTCCAGAGGGCTTCTGCCTGCATGATCATAGTGGGTGTTTTACCCCTTAACGTTAATAGTGTCTTCATAGTATTTATTTTTCTTAAATTAGAAAAACAACCCGAACTTTTCGTTCTGGGCCTTCCCTTGTTCCTCTGCTATATCCATGGTTGTGGATTAACAGGAGTGTGGAAGAAGAAAAGACCAGAAGGAGGAGGAGAAGCAGGAACACCGGCAGGGGACAGCCAGTGAGCAAGTCCTAACGACCCATAACCAGCGCCTGACGACCCTACTGATTGGGGGAATGCAAGCCCATGGGGGCTGCAAGGGGGGGGTCGGTTGGGAAAAAAGATATTTAGTAGGAGATAAGCTGCGTGTTTGTTGTAATAAACGATTCTGGTTGCACCTCCGACCAGGGTCCGTGCCTTCATATGCTACAAATGGTGATTTTGCCACTGACAATAAAAAAAGGAGGACCAGAGCCTTTTATGCCCTACTTTTAAGTGTTAATACGTTTACAGAAGACTATACAAAGAAGCGCTGAACAGCAATTACACATTATTAGAGCTATACAATATTTGTACATGTTGCTAAACCAATGAGCAGCGATTTAGCAGCAGCTAAATGAAGAAGCTTTATTAATTTAGAGGTTTTGGCTGCTGTTATTAAAATATATTTACCTGAAAGGAAATTCAAGTATTTCGTTTTACAAATGACTTAAGATACAGCAGCAAGCAACATAAACTATTGCTTTTTATGTTTATACATTTTTTTTTGGCATAATATTGCCATACAGTTACAGAACTATAAAATGTATCTTTATAGTGCATTACAAATCCAGAAACTGTTTACCACTCCTACCACATACATTTTGGTATTTGGTACTACCAAACATGCACGGCATTCTGTAATTAAACACTGCAAAGGAATACAAAGGAGAGAGCAGGACCATTCATATAAAACTGACATGTAGCTGTTTCATTTTGCAAGTTTAAATTGTTAGGGTTTGCCTTTTTTTCTTTTAATGCACTGATTTCTTAGAATACATTTTTAACGAAGTCATCTAAGGTATTTCCAAATCTTATCAGTGCAGATACCTAATCATCTGTTGCTGAACTCAAACTATATAAAAGGGCAAACAACCATGGAATAGGTTAAACCGCAGAAAAAACAGCAACTAATGATTAGCAAACATGCTTCAGCAGATCCCAAAAATATAAGTGCCATAACCTTTTTTACTGCAAAACAATAATTTTCACAGTCACAGTAGTGAATACATTCAGTATAGTTCACAATAAACTTTAGTTGATGAATACGCCACTAGACTTGTAAGCATGGTAGAATTAAAAAGTACCAAGTTTCTAAGAAGAGACTTCTTTCAGAACAATTTGCCAAGTTGTTATTTCATAGCAAACAGTTTAATGTTTATTTATTGAAAATAAAGGTGATTATAAGCGCAAAGCCATAGGAGGTCTCTTTTTAATTGATCTCTATAGCTTTTGAACTGTATTTTAGGAGTCCATTAGGTATGGCATGTATTAAATATATTCTGTAAAATAAACTCTTGCTTTCCCCAATGGTATTAAGCACACTTAAGAACATGAGCTGTAAGGAACAGATCTAAGGAAAAGAAAGTTCACAGGCAACATAGAGCACAGAGACATTAGAGAGACAATTCACATTTCCCTTCAAGAATTGCACCTAAATCCCTGTTAGTAGTGAATCTATGATGTTGACCATGATGAGAATGGAGGGCAGATTGCCCATGCTTAGGCCTTTTTGACCCATTCTTCTTTTTCAGGCTCTGATGGCAATCAAAACCACCTTTTCAGCAGCTACTCCAACTGCAATTGGAACTGAGGACACATAATCAAAGGAAGATACCAAAATGTGGAATGAGGACTATGGTTCTCAGCAAACCCCAGACAGTATTTCTGTCTTCTACGTGATCACAACATTACATCCATTGATGCTGGTGTCTCCAAATCCAGAGGTACCTCACTCAGATATGCTAGGAGTAGGTTTTCCTTTGACTGATCTTGTTTTTACACTGATAGAAAAAGAAAAAATATCTTCATCCAAAAGAATTTATGTGTAAAAATATATTCAGAAGGGACAATATTATCTTACATAATATTGCTATCAACATAGGACAAGTTTTCTGCCTAAGCAGACATCAAGTCAAAGGACACAAACACAGGACATTTTCTGCCTAAGCAGGTATTTTATCATTAGAAATTCCCACAGCTTTTAAAAACCTACTTGAAGTAGATTACTCTTCATCTTACAGTAACCATGTTCAAATGCACTAGCAATTCTTGAATAAACAAATCTGAGACAAACAAGAGATTACTTCTTCCACACAAAACATATTTAACACATGGAACTCACAGCCACAAGGGACTGTGGAGGCTGAATGAAACCGTGAGTTCAAAAATGGAAAAATTCCTGGAGAAAAAGAGGGTCACTTTATCTGTCCTTTGTTTCATACTATCCATGGGTAGCCACTGCTGGAGGCAGGATACAAGGCTAGAAACATCTCTGGTTCTGATCCACACTGGTAGTTCTTACGACAATGGACATCATTAGCATGATATTTTCACACTTTTATTAATGCCAAAATTTACTTCACATACTTGCATCTTACTCATAAATACAGCTTTTGTCAAGGAAATTCAATGTATGTTACCTGTAAAAGTATGGTGTAATAAGAGTTACACTGTCACTTAAACATATACTATAATTTGTTATTGGGACCATCACAACTGTGAGGAAATAATTCAATTAAACAGATATATACATAAATTTTATTTAAAAAAGACCAAGAGCTGTTTTCCATTTAAATTTAGTAAATCTCCCTTGCCTTATTGGAGCATCCATCAAAATTATACAAGGCTTCTAAGGTCTGTAAACTTTCTGGTTATAGCATAGGTGTTTTATACAACTGTAGATTATTAGAATTATCCTGAAATAATTTATGGAGGCTTACACTAGGTTACATGAAATATTAACTATGATTATACAAATACCAAATACACCAGACTGCTGCAATCTTAGAGCAGGAAACTGAGGAGCTGACCAAGCCAGGGAACAGCTCTCAAAGGCTTATTGCAAATATTTTTAGCATCCTTCAGGATCATGCCTTTAAATATGAGCAATATGGACACCAAGAACTCAGTTCTGCTCCTTACACATGCGTAACTGCTCTTATCTGGATGGTCTGTGGTGCACACCTCATGTACCCAAGTTTCAGTTTCTTTGCCAACAGAGCATCAGGTACCGAGGAACAGTTATGCCCTCAACAGTAGGGTACAGAGCTATAACTAACCTTAAAGTGCTGCATTTCTGCTTATTTGTATGATTGCTTTCGCGTGTATGTGCGTACTCAGCAACATTTTGTCAAGTTGTGCACCCTCACACCATAGGGTACTTGAAATCAAATTTCACAGGTGCGTGCATATACACACTATTCCCACTTCACAGTGCCAGAGGCTATTCAGATGTACTTATTAGAGAAGAATCTGTGTGGGAAGTTCTGTTCAGTTAATAAATGAATAGCTCAGATTCTAGGAAAACACTGGGCCAAAATACATTATCATAGTGAGTACACAGAAATCCCTGAACACTTAAGTGCATATAGCAAGACAAAACTAAGTTTAACAGCGAGCAAATGTCCTGATTTTCTTTGCACATCCCCAGTTTGTGAAATAATGGTTAAATAACTAAGTACTGGCATTACGAGAAAGCAATCATTTCAACATGTATTGTACTGTAAATCTGAAAGGCAACACTTAGAAACTTGAAGCATGGGATGCTTTTGGTTGCTAAGGCCATGATTCTGTAATGGAAATGCATACAGCGCACCCACTTGATCCTCACAAATCTCGAAGGGATGCTACACTGTATGATTGTCCTGTGATGAATCCTTCTATTAAGCACTTGCAAGATCAGGAGAAACAACTCCTCACGAAAAGAATGATAACCATCACAATTTACATAGAGCATAATTTGTTAGTTAAAGCTGAAGTGTCCCATGGGAGTAGTTCTGGTGATAAAGCTGTAAGACAAAGATTACAGAGTGCAGGAGCCCACCTGACACAAAAAATTTCACTTGACTAATCCCCATAGTTCTTTGTAGGCAACTGATATGCCACTACTCTCTTCACTTCTATGAAAACTGCTAGAAATACACTAAGTTGGGGATTTAAAAAAAAATAATAAAAAAACTGCAGAGCAAATAAGGATGAGAGACACAAAGTTTTCAACTGTATTTTCAGATACACTGGGCCCTTAATGCAGACAGCCCTACCAGACTAAAAGTACTTAATTAAGTACTTAATTATGAGTGGAGAACCATCAAGCATGTATAAGTGAAACCTGTACCACAGTAATAGAACACCATACCGCAGAGAAATCTTTCAGACATCCTGAGAGCTTTCTGGTTTAAAAGATTTCCCTTTTTTTTTTTGTTCAATAGACCAAAGATGAAAGATCTTCTGAGGTCACTGATGTTTAATCAAATTACAGTATAAATATAATAACATTCCCAGCATCCCTTATTTCACTTGAACACTATGCTTTTTTTTTTTTTTTTTTTTTTTTAGTTTTTATCTTTAAAATAAAGTGGTTGCTTTTATGGCATAATATTTTTTTTTTTCCTGACGGCATTTAAATACT